AAAAAAAAAAAAAAAAAAGAAGAGAAAAAACGAGAGAAAAAGGAAAAAGAAAAACGCGAAAGCGACGCGCGGATCTTTCGACTTTTTTTTCTTTTCTTTTTTTTTTTTTTTTTTCTTTTGTCCCTGGGTAGTAATAAATCGATATACATACATACGTGGTATACGTGTGGCGTTCGTTCCCGTCGAACGGGAAGGTTTTTTTCAACGGTGGCGTAACGCCGCCGTTCCAGAAACGATGGGACGAATACTCGGGGGGGAGGAAAACAAAGAAAAAAAAAAAGAAAAAACAAGAAAGAAAGAAAGAAAGAAAGAAAGAATGAAAGAAAGGAATACACGCTTTACATCGCCTCGTGTTTTTTTCTCATTGATATGTGTCTCCATCTCGACCCCAAAGTCGACCGCCTCTCGCTCGGTTGATCGAAATCGGTCCGTCGCGCGCCACCACGATCGAGGCTTCTTCTCGAACGATCCGTTCGTTTCCTCGTCGAACTCGCGACGTTTCGATGAACTCGCGCGCGCACTTCTCTTCTTCTTCCTCCTCCTCCTCTTCCTCTTCCTCTTCCTCTTCTTCGTCGAGTTCTCGTAAACGTACATTCTATATTCTCGAAAACCGCGCTCCCCCTTCCTTTCACGGGGACGTTCACGCGCCTCGATATTCGTCCTTTCGACGAATCGTTAGACGTTTAGACGGCCGTTTCCTCCCACGAGGATCGCACGAAATCACACGACGAAGAGTGTCTCTCCCCCTCCCCCGCGAGCACGGATGATCGCGTGGATTCCGATCGATTTGGCCGTATCCTCGACGGAGGGAGGGCGCGTGCGAGGGCTCCGCGCACACTTTCCACCCCTCGCTGCGCTCCCATCCACCGATCGATCTCGATCTCACTCGTTTTGGCTGCTCGCTGGAACGCGCTCTGCCCCTCTTCTTCCTTCCTCCGCCCTCCTCTTCTAGGTTGCGCTCGTGAACAGAACCGAGTTCTTGTAATAACCCGTCCGTGATTCTGAAACAGAAGCGGCGGTCAAGAGTTCGGGAGCTGTGTCTCCAGCGGCGAGTGTTGAACGAAGTGCACGAATGGAGGAAGGGAGGGGAGGGGAGGGGGGAGGGGGAATTTCGCGTCGATCTCACGTCGATCGGTCCCGTTTCGAAATTTGATTTCGCGGATGAAGCGATCGCGAATAAGGGGGGAAGGGCCGAGCGAATGATTCGATGATCGTTCGGGTGGAAGAGGCGCCGCTCACTAATTATCCTTCCCTCTTGAGACGTGGACGAACATTTGAGGGGGAGGGAGGGGGAGGGAAGGAGAGAAAGAGAGAGAGAGAGAGAGACTGAGACCTATCCACGGGATTCGTGGATACGAGACCGGTCGACTCATCGGGGGCCCTTAGGGCGCCTTTGTGATCCGAGCCGCCACTCGACTTTTTATCCAACTGTCGCTTATGATTGAAAATCACCAGCGAGCTCCTTAATAGTCCACCGATCTCGATTTAACTCCGTTTCTTATTACCACCCTCTCCCTCTCTCTCTCTCTCTCATACGAAGAGAATAATTCTTTCTCGCTCTCGACGCGAGAGAGAGGAATTTCTATTCTCTCGAAAACCGCGTTCCTCTCGCTCGATGGTCTATCGTCTATCGCTTATAGATGGAAATTTCTCGAAATCGTTGGCTAATTTCGGCAACCTAAGGAGGGACGATTATATTCGACCGATGAAGAGCGGAGACTCCGAGGAAGCCAATTAAGGGGACCTACTCGTTAAGCGGCTGGAGCAAGCCGCGGTGGATCTCGGTGGTTTCGCGGGGAGAAAAACGATTATTTACGAAGCGGCGTTTGGAGGGGTGGAGGGGGAGGAGATGCGGCGCAAGAAAAAGGGAGAAGGAGAAAGAGCGTCGAAATGGCGCGCCACACCGGTTACGCCGTTTTTTGCCCCTCCCCTCCCCCTTTCTCCTCTCCCAACTTCGTACAAGTTTGCGCGCGAGGCAAGAGGCGAAGCCAAGTTTCGAATCCGCCGGCGTGTGCCGTTGTTGTAAGAAACACACCCTCCTCGATTCCCAATCTCCCCCCCTCCCCTCTCTCTCTCTCTCTCTCTGTCCCCTCGAGAGACTTTCTAATTAAAGATCCGGAAGTTTGGTCGGTCGTTGGTCGCAAGAGGCGACGACGAATCGAGCGTATTGGAGTGTTCCGCGGGTGGAAGGGTGTTTGCTCGGAATCGGTCCGCGTAATTTTTACACCTCGACTCGATCCACGTCAAGTATTTGTTGGCCGAGATGGAGGGACGACGGGGCGGCGACGAGGTCGAGTCGGCGAACCCACCTTGAAGAGGAGACTTGACTTGGTCCCTCTCGGCCGCCTGGTGCTGCCGCGATTTTCTCTCCAGCTCGAGTTCTTGCACCAGCGATTCTGCGACAGGGAAAAAAAACAAAGAGAAAATTCGTTGGTTATCTTGTCGTGCGCGGAACGAAGAGTCGTGGGAACACGTGTTCCTCGTTTTCCTCTCGGAAGGAAGGGACTCGGAACGTGGAGCGACGAGCGTGGATCGCGACGCCGATCTTGGCGTCGAAATTTCGTCGAGGCGCGAACGCGAACGATGAAACGGAGCGGTAATTAGTGGGAAAGCAGCGAGCAGCGGGAGCCGGGAGCGAAGGGGGAAGGAGATGATGGGACGGGACGAAGGCAGGCGTGAAAGGGCCGCGGGTTTGCTCACTGAATTCCGCAAGGATTAGGGGTGAAAACTGGAAAATGTCCCTTTAATGATATCGCGCCGAATTAACCGCGGGCCGGGATCCTCGTTTCGGTCTACTTCGTTAAGCCCGCCGCGATTGTGGCCGAGCCTTCCTCCCTCCGGGATCCGAGGAAAGGAGAAGAAGAGGAAGAAGAAGAAGATGAAGAAAAAGAGGAGGAGGGACGCGTCCCTTTCTCGCGGAAAATTGAAAAACCCGAGCTCGTCGATCGGATTCGGAGGAGGATCCTCTCGCTTTGACGCGGCTCGAGCGAAAGATCGTCGTTGCTCGATCGAAAGGATTAGGGAGGGAGAGTACGCGAGTGTAATCGGGAAGCGTGAAATGGCGGCTCCTTGGGCAAACGAGCAATGGTAAAATCCAATTGCAAGGCCATTAAATCCGAGTTAACCGAGTCGTAGGAGATGGAGAATTCGTAGCGCGAGTCGCGGGGGCCGAGGAGACTTTGGGGCCGAGATTCCATTATGCTTCGCGCAACAATAGCTGAGGGCTGTTTCGTGGGTGTGAATTCGTGCGTTCGTCAGGGCCGTTATATTCCTACGGAGCGAGCGGGGTGGGGGGAGGGGTGTGTTTGCGTTTCACTGAGCCAAATTACCTCTGGCGCCCTTATCCGCGCGCGGGGTGTTTCTCGTCCCTTTGATATCCAAATGACAATTTAACTGCTCGAGATACGGCCTCGTCGGCCCCCTCCTTCCCGCGATTGCCAGCGGTTGTTGTAGAGGCGTGTGCCGCCTCTCGTTCAACCGAAGATTTCTATCCCCGGCACGGGGGAGGAGGTGGAGGGAGGGAGGGAGGGATAACTTCGTTGTTCGAGTCCAAGTTTCTCTTCGCCTCGAGGAGCCGAAGGAGAGAAGAGGAGGGGGGAGGGAGGAGTGGAAGTGGATTTCGATCGTGATTCGATCGGATCGAGGCAAACGTACGTCCCTTGGATATCAACCGACTAATAGTTTTGCTACTGTATTACACACCCTGACAAATCGCGGGAACAATGAAAACAATTTCAGCCCCTCTTTCTCGCCTCTAAACGATTCGCATTGTGCCCTCGTCCCGGCACCCGATTTTTTCGGCTGTCGAGCAGCGCGAAACGGAGGGGGAAGGGGGATCCCTCCCTTGCCCGGCCGAGATCGGTGAAAGAAGAGTAGCCTCTCTTGGATACTGTGGTGTGTATGTATCCGGTATGACTGTGCGTTTATCCGCACGTAATTAACTCGGCGCACAATGCATCGCGAGAGAAGGCCAACTCGTCTTCTCCCGGGAGAGGAGACGAAGAAAAGAAACGAGAGGGAAGGCGGTTGGCGGCGTCGACCCGGTGTCTCGGGGAAAAAAAGAAAAGAAGCGTCGTATATATATATATATATATATATATATATGCCTCTCCTCTTCTCGAAAAATCTCGATATCGTGCCGGTCGACGTGGCAACGTCATTGGAAACGTGCAACGCGGCAGCAGCTTCGTTCGTTCGATCGATCGGTTTTTTTTCTATCCCGAAGAGGAACGCTCGAAATTCCACTTGCACGCGCGTCCTTCGTCCTCCGTTCCGACTCGTCCCAACTCCATCCATCCCTCCCTGCTCTCCCTTCGCATTCCATCCCAGCCAATCGTATTTTTTAACGTCGAGAATGACACAACGTGACACCTCGCCTCGCGCGCAAGAAAGAGAGAGAGAGAGAGAGAGAGAGGCTTGGCTTAATCGCCTCGGTGCGAGGGGGTCGGTCGTCGTCGGTAGGACGAGCGAACGTGTATCCGAAGAGTGGCGAGTTAATACACCGGCGTGTAATAAGTAATTTCCGAGGAGGAAGAAGAGGAGGGGGAGGGGGAGGAGGAGGAGAAGGGCATCGTGACCTCGCGCGGTGAAAAACAAACGTCGTAGCCGGTTCGACGATCTTCCCTCGCTCGCGGAGGGACCCATCCGCGTGAGAGGGATCGTGTCCCGGCCGCGGTAATTGCGCCGATGCCTCTCCATTCCTCCTCTTCCTCCTCCATTCCTCCGAGGATCGGAGTCGAGGGTTGTTGGCAGCAGTCGAAGGAGAAGAGAGAAAAGAGCAGCGGCGGTGGTAGGAGCGGGAAAAGTGGAAGGAGGAGGAGGAGGAGGAGGAAGGACGGAGAAGCGACGTTAGGCAGGAACTGGAAAGACGATGGCGCGCGGGGTGGAGGAGCGGCCACGGGGTTGATTTCGTGTAGCGCCGCGTTTTTAATGCTCTGATCTTTATGTAAAACGGAACACGGGGGAGAAGGAGGGAGGGAGGGAGGGAGGAATGCAAGGATGCGGGGGCAGAAGAGGGAAGGAGGAAGGGGGGGGGAGGCAGGAGATAGAGGCGCTCGAGCGCCAAGCCAACCGTGAAATTGTATGAATCGAGGAGGTGCATGGAGAAACGCGGAGACACAAAAAGCGGCGATATGAGAGAGCGAGGGAAAGAAAAAAGCTGGGAGAGGATAAAGGAGTGGATAAAGAGGAAACTACTCCGTTCGCCTCGATTTCCAATTGAAACGCCACTTCGTTCGAGCTTTTTGAATCTCGCCTCCTCTCCCCCCCTTTTCGTCCCGACGAATTCACTCTCGTTTCTCGCTCGGCTAGGCGACAGAAAAAAGAAATTTAATCCAAGCTCAGCGAGAGCCGCGTAAGAGGTCTCGTAATCGTAATCGCGGAAGAGGAAGAGAGGAGGAGGCGGAGAGAAGATATTCTTCTCGAGACAGGAACCTAACGCTAACGCAAACTACCGGAGAGATAGAGATAGAGATAAAGAGAGAAAGAGAGAGAGTATATACATACGTGGAAGCGGCGCTTCGTTCCTCCCCTTCCTCCGATTCACCCTCCCGATTTCTCTAGTCTCCTGGCTTGTTCGCCGGAAAACCGCGTCGTGTCTTGTGGATATATTCGCGGCGAGGGACGCTTTCAAACCACCACCCCCTCCTCCCTCCCTCCGCTACCACATTTTCAGGCTTCCCGTGTCGACGCGTCAGCTTCCTTTCGCCTCTATATATTGCTCGCGTACACGCGTCACGGTTTATCACTCTCGCGGGGTTATTGTCTTTCGTCTAATGGTAGACGCATGCGAGCCCTCTCGTGTACAGGTGCGATCGAATATATATATATATATATATATAGAGGAGAATATTTCATCAGGAGGGAATCAGGCCGCGTGTCGCGCAATATTTCTCCTCGAACGCGTCTCGCGCCTACCTCCTCGACTATCTACCTCCCCTCCGTGTTTGACAAGGAGGAACGAGATCCTCCGTGGAGATAACGCGGACGAATTTGTAATCTACAACCGGTCGACGTATGTACATTTTATTGCTCCCCGTTTCGCTTCGTTCCGGTTTTACGGTCGAGAGTTTCTACGGCCATTAATAGATTCTGCCCCGGCAGAAACTCGTGCACGCACATGCCTCTAACCGAGCCGTTTAATCGCTCGCTCTTTCGATTCCCACTCGCGTGAAAGAATGGTCGGTCGAGATCGCGGGGGTGGATAATCTCTCTCGTTTTGCGGGGTGGATGCGGAATTGGGAGGGAGGGAGGGGCGGGAAGATGGAAACAATAAGGGTGGAAATAAACGAGACGAGAGAAAAGGTAGAGAGGAACGAGAAGGAAACGCGCAACGATAGGATAGATGGTTGCTGCGTAAAATTATTGCGTACAAGTTTGAATATTAAAGCGTGGCGGAGTGCGTAGCACTCGTTCGTTCGGATGCTGGATATGGATGGACGCGAAGGAATCGTCGTTTGCGCTTGTGCATGTAACGCGTACGTACTCAGGGGGGAGGAGGAGGAGGAGGAGGAAGAGGAGACAGAGCGTGAGAGAGAAAGGGAGAAGTACGGAACGTCGGATGGAGGGTTTAAGGGAAACGAAGGAAGAAAGGAGAGGGAGGACAGGTAACGCCACCGAGAGGCACGGTGGCCGCCGGGGAAATTACGGCTCCTTCCTTACTTGCCAGAGATGTGCATAAACTCTGCATTACGTTCAGTGGCGCTCATGGCGCTCGTGGCTTGGTTCGGATGCCTGCCGGGACGGATAAAATCGTTCCTCGTCTTATTAAACGCTGCCGCGATTCTCTCTTCGCTCTCTATTCCGTCGTTTATCCAACGGATCTCGCCGATCGAACGAACCGACGAGTCGTTTACCCCCGATCATCCGTTATCCATTTCACTGAAACTGATTACGATCCGCGTTCCTTTTCAGGTATGCATAACAATTTTCGGCCGAGGTTTTCCACGGCTTCCACGGGGAGGATGAGAAGCGCTGTTCGTATAGAATGCATGACTCGAAGACGCGACGGCCCCGAAGTCCCTTCAGAGGCGTAGTAAGTACCCACCTCAGACGACGGCGTTACGCCGACCTATGCTCCTCTCCTTGTTATTCGCCCCCCTCCGCCCCATCTAAATCTCCGTTGTTTATTGCAAATGGATTCCGCATCATGATGCCCGGGTGGTTACGGGACCCTATTCAAATACCTCGTGTTTCCTCGTCGGAACCGACTCTGCCCCCTCCCCCTCCCTCTCGTCCCTGACTCCGTCCACCCTCACCACGCGCGTACAGGGTTGTTATTGCCCCCGGCGTGATTGTTCCCTTTCTCTCTCTCTCTCTCTTTCTCTCTCTCTGCCGAGATCTTTCGAATAATTTACTTTGCGCGATATACAGACGCGACGCGGGGCCTCTTTGCCCTCGGCCTCCCTTTCCCCTCCCTCTCGTTCCTTTCCACCCGCCGCGATATCCAACGCGATGATTCTTTCCCCTCTCTTCTTTCTTTCTTTCTTTCTTTCTTTCTTTCTTTCTTTTTTTCCTTTTCGTTTGGGTAATCGAGGATCGAAGTCAGCCGGGCGGAAGATCAGAAAAATTGAGTGGATCCTAATACGGGAACGCGATTATCCGAATTAGCGGCTTGCCACCGGGTCCTCGCCCTCTTTTCATCGCGGTCGCGCCGCTCCCTTCCCCTCTTCCTCGATGAAAGAAGGGAGGGGGATCGCCCCGAGGCTCGCCGCTTTTTCTTAAATTTCGCTCGATACCCATTGTTGCGAGCCCGCCCCCGGCTTATTTTTCTCTCTCCGCGCTTCTTCTCGCGACGGGAGAGGGGTGGAACGACGCGGTACGTTATCTTAGCACGTGCGTTCCCCGTAACCGATCCCCTCCCCCGATCCTCGACCGAGAACCCGTCGTAGAATCGAGAATAGAGAAGAGGAAGATTGGCGTGTCCAACTGACCTTGGTAGTTCTGCCAGAAGGCGGATGCTTGGCTGCCGATCAGGTCCAACCCGTATCCCCATGCCGGTTTCTCGGGGGTGGAGGGTTGTTGGGAGGGGCGCGGCACCTGGGCCTCCCTGTATTGTTGGGCCTGTTGCTGCTGTTGAAGGGGTTGCTGGGACGACTGTTGCTGCGAGGGCTGCTGCTGCGACTGCGAGTGTACCGGACTGGCTTCCGGTGGCTCCGAACTCGTGCGCGCCTCCACCGTCACGTTTTCTACCAAACCAGATAGCGGGTGAAGGGAGAAGAGAACAGAAACAGAAATCAGAAAAGAGAAAAAAGAAAAGAGAAGAAGAAAAACGATATCGAACGCACCGATTTCTCGATCGTGGCAAAGAGGTTTAGGGGGTAGATAGGAGGAGGTGTAGGGGTAGGTTGGAGCGTTTCAGAAGGGAGAGCAGCGAAGGGCGACCCCTCGGAGGAATCGCTTCGAACCGTTCGTTCGAATTCGCGTGCTCCGTTTCATTCGAAATTAGTATCGCTACTTCCCTGCGTCTGACAGGGTTAATCAGCAGCGACGGGGAAGTAGCGGCACTGTTGCGACGCGAATAGGATTCCTGGCTCGCCGCGCGTTCTCTGTATCGGAATAAGATATTTCACTTAAAGGGTTTCAACCTCGCGCTCGAGTTTTGTTAGTGACAGGAGGCGGAGGTGGGGTGGGAGGGGGGATGCAGCTCCGCGCTGCCTCCTCCTCCTCCGACCCTCCCCGCCCTCGTAGAATCGCGGCTCGTGGTTCACTGCTCGAGGTAAGGAATCGAGAAGGAGCGTGGAGAAGATTCCGAGGCCCAGCGGCGTTCGAAACGAAAACGGGAGGAGGGGGCGTAAAGATCTTTCCCCCTTCCGCCTCTTCGATAAGGGGATAAGTAAGGAATCGTATTCCGCCGGGTGTCAGCCTGTTTGCTCTCTGGCTCCCCGGCTCGTATTAATTAAATTATTCCCGAGATCACCCGCTAGCCCCCTCCCTCCAAGGCCTCCGAAGAATCGACTCGAAAATCCTGGAGAGAGAGATAGAAAGAGAAAGAGAGAAAGAGAAAGAGAGAGAGAGAACGCGGATTTCTTTCTCTCCTCCTCTCTTTCTCTGTTTCTCTTCTCGAGGATATCTCGATATCTCGATAATCGCGGAGCAAGCACGTGCGCGAAGTCGCCTCCTTTCCCGCTCCATTTTCACTCGGAACCGATACTTACCGGTAATCGCTCTGACTTGCTCGGAGGAAGCCCCCGTTGCCTTCAACGCCTCCTCGAGCTGCGTGCGCCTCTTGATCTCCAGGTCCAGTTGCTCCTGCAGGCGTTTCCTCGCCCTTCGTTCTTTCTTTAGCCGTTTTTGGTACATCACTGGAATCAGAAATCGGGGTGGAAAGTGGGGTTAGCGCTGTTTCGAGGATTCGAAGAGGGAGGGAGGGATGTCGCGTGCGCGTCTCCCCTCGGACGGACACCCGTCGAAACGACTTAACGACGGGGACCGAAGATGGTCGAGCGTTCCCCCAGGTGGTGGAACCCCTGCGCGGTCAAAGTCGAACGAAATTATCTTGGCGTATCATTGTACCGCGGGGGGTTTCACGGGCGGCCGTGCAGGGGGCCTCGGACCTCGAACACGCGCCTAAGCGGGGGTCTGATGGTCCGTTTCGCTACTGTGCGCGGCTGTCCACCACGATCCGGCTGTCCACCGAGATCGACGTCGATCGATCTACTTATCGATCGATCCATCTACGAATCGGTCGCCCGGTTAAACCGGTTCCCCCCTCTCTCTCTCTCTCTCTCTCTCTCTCTTCGTTTGCACCATTTGCGAACTGCAACGATTTTTTATCTCGCGACTGCCCCGCAGCCGTCAGCCCGGCCGCGTTGCGTTGATTACTTTATCTGAACGGGTACAACGAGGAGGTAACCGTGGACCGGTTGGTGTACCGCTTCGTATTACGTTTAACAACCGTGCCTCGAATTATTCCTCCTCGATCGTTTTCCTCTCTTCTATCTCTTCGCGATCGTCCTCTTCGCGTCGTACTTGTAACGCGTATGACAAACACTGTCCATCGAATCCTCGTTATCGAATACATCTCTCGGACGAGTGTCGAGGATCGGCCGATTCGCTCCAATTCGAAGAAATTGGTTCGCGACGAGACGCATTGGACATGGTCGGACGCAGGTTTTCGCAGACGGCCGATCGCCGGGGCAGATCTCGGGTCGGCGCGTTTGAACCCGCCTCTCCCCCCCCCCTCTCTACCCGCTTTAATTATTTTCCATTATTGCGAACCGCCGCGTCCGGCCATTGTGCCTTGGCCAGGATCACCCCCTCTCCCGCAACGCCACTCTCGTGCCCGATCTCTCGCCGATCGAGCCTCGTTGCGGGCATTGTTGTCGACGCCTCGATCGGGCCGCGATTCGCCTCGTTTCGATTTGCTGCCATCCTTCCCTACGATGGATGGATTCGATTTCGCGGAACACGGCGGAAAACGATAATCGTTCCCTTTCCTCCACTGTGTTTAAGGGGGAAGTCGGTAGTTAACGTCCAATTAGTCTCGTCACCGGGTTAACGAGTGCATCGCCGTTTCTTCACCGATCCACTCCACGGAGGAGGAAACGTTACGAAATGTCGAGGCCCGTGGAATCTCGATGCAAAGGGCTGCACATAAGATGATGTGCTTCGAAACGACGGGGACGGGAAAGAAAGAAAGAAAGAAATGAAAGATTTCGAAGGAGATGTTTTTCACGCGATCGACAGGTGGACAGCGGTTGAGCGTCACTGATACCGTGATTGATTCCCGGCAGACAAGGCGCAGACAACCCCTTTGCCCCCCTCTACGGTCCAGCTATACCTGTCTTCCCTTTGTCTTTCACCGTTCGCTTTCTCGCTCTCGCCGACTTTCGTCGAGAATACCTTCTCTACCTCCTCTCTTTTTCCCTTTCTCGATACATACGTACATACATACGTGTGTATATATATATATATATATATATATACACATAGATACGTACATAAGTAAGTCTCTTTCGAACGTTCGACGCTCTCTCGCCGAGTCCTCGGATGCCGGTCTTCTCTGCCGGTTTGTCGAATAGGTGTGCAACGACGGGAGGGTAAGGAGAAAGCGCGAGGGTGCGGAGAGAAGGAGGAGGAGGAGGAGGAGGAGAAGGAGGCGGAGGAGGAGGGACGCGAAGCAAAGTGCGGCGGTGGCGGGTGGGAAGAAGGGGGACAGACTTCTCTCTCCGGTGGTAGGAGCGGCTTGTGGGGTACGAGGGAGAAGCGGGGGGCGCAGCATTATGATGCAAAGATGGCGCGGCTGCGGCACCCTAGAATTAGCTCGAGCACTCGCCATTGGCCGCTCGGCAAACCACTCCTTCGGTAACAACCGACTGCATACGTTGCATACTAAGGATACACGCGAGCCTGTCGAAGAATCGCCCCGATCCGGGGCTGCTTCGCCACCGATTTCCACCTACGATCCCGAAACTTCTTCCAATTCCCTCCCTCTCGACGAACCCGCGCCTCGCTTTTCTCCACTTCCGTTTCGAATCTGAATCGACAGCTGTCTCTTTCCTCTCGACTATATAGCCAACAACGCGAAGGAAAAGGGAATCGATCCGATGGACAATAACGATCTCCCCTCGATTTTATCCAACCTGTTTTCACAAATGGAATCACGGGAAGAGCAAGCCTTGTCTTCGTTTTACAGAGGTTACGAAATCAGAGGCTACGAAACGGTTCCGCTCGATCGATCGGATATCGTTCGAGAAGATACCCGAGAGAATTGTCGATCGCTTCGATCGCGGGTGAAGGAGATTCCAGGTCGAAGGGTATCGCGAATAGGAATGGAGAGAAATACCTCCGTTGGTCGAGTGACGCGTTCGAAGGGAACAGAAGAGAGATTTCTCTCTCTCTCTCTCTCTCTCTGGACACGTCAAAACACATCAGCTACCGCTGTGCGCTGGATCAGAAATCGGTGTCCGCGCGGAGACTACCCACGTCGAAGACTCGACGCCTACGACGTTCGAGATAGCGTACCGGATCCCGAACGATATCGATCCGGCTTCGAATTCTCGAGATCTGGTCGGGTTGTCGCTTCGGGCCTGTTTCGAAGTCGTCGCCTATCTGGCGGAATTAGCGGCCGGTCGCGTAAACAATCAGGGGAAACGCGACGGGGCAAATCCAATAGGGAAACCCGCAGAAACTAATATAGAGGCCGGTCGTCTTACCGAGGCTCGCGTTTAATACGCGTCCCTCCTTTCGAAGCGAGAGAGAACAGTCCCTCCGGGAATAGCAATGTGATTTACATTTTGAGGTTATATTGACCATTCCCGCCACCTGGAGCACTCGCTCCTTCCTTCCTTCCTAGCCTAGTCGATGACCGTCGGGATCGTGGTCGGGAAAAATTAATAATAACACCGCGTCTCAAATTAATAACGCTTTGCTCGCTCGCCAAATAGAGATTCGCAGATTCGACACGCGTTCTAATCGACACTTGTCCGTCTCGAGATCGAATCGAGAGAGAGAGAGAGAGGATGAGAGCTCGTTAACGATCCTCGAACGGCCCCAACAACGGTCGCGATCTAGTGTTTTAGAAAGGGGTACGAAGAAAGGAGGGTGGGGGAGATTAGGGACGCGCGCGCGCACTTAATGCGTAATTACGATTCATGAAGGCGGATGAACCGTACGGCGTCTGGACAAGCGGCGTAATCTTGAGGCCGAATACGTCCTCGAGGGGCCGAGGAACAGCCGTTAGCCGGCGTTCAAAGGGGTTCTTACGCACCTACTCGAGACGCGGGAGCACCACGGCCTCCTCCTCCTCCTCCTCCTCCTCCGACGGACAGCATCTGTGCTCCACGATATCCATACAAAAGCCGTCTGGTGAATAACATTAAGCCACGCCGCGTACGATTATAGTCCGACGAACGTCGATACCAGTTAGACCGTGTATCCTGTGCGAATGCTAATTTCGGACGGGCTCCTCGAATGCTCGGCCGAGCCCGTCCGAAACAGGCCCCCGATCGACGAAACCGCGAACCGATGTCTTCTTCCGCTTCCCTCCTTCTCCTCCCTTCCTCCCCGCGCGAGGGCAGCAAGGGAGGGAAGGAGGGAGGGAGGTTTTTTCTCGTCGCCTTCCGACGATCGATCGATCCCTCGCGGACAGATTCCACCTTCTCTCTCTCGTCCCGCCACCCCCTTTTACGCACCCGAAGGGGTCGCCCCTCGTTCAAATATCAATTTTGCGGCGACAACTTTTCGCCACCCTCCTTTTCTTCCACTCCGTGACCCATATGGAAATGGAGATCGGTCATCGGAATCCAGTTTGCCAGTTTGGGAAACGTCCCCGACAGGGGGAGAGAGAGGGTGGGTCAACCGCGTTTCCCTTCCTTCTCCTCCGTGAACGGGGAGGGTAGGAACGTCGTAAAGTCGAAAGCTTTTCGCTTTTACGTATTATTCTTTTATCCGATATCGGGATAGCCTGTATCCGGAGGCGAGATATACCGAAGGGGGAGAGGGGAGGAAATCCTCTTTGCGCGGTTGATACCTTTTTTTCTTTTTTTTTTTCCAATGAAAAATTTCGTCTTCTCGTCCGAAGAAAGAAAATAAGAAAAAGAGGAGAAAGAAGAAGAAGAAGCGTCTGCTTCGTCTCGCCGCTCTCGTCTGTTTCCATAGGACAAACTAATTTATCCTATTAACATCCGCTGTGTACGTAAGCTGTGTTTCTCGCGCGAGATCTCTCCTTCCTCTTCCGTTCGTCGGCCGGGCGTTTTAGATTCGCGTTGAATGAGAGAAGTTGGACGGGCGGGTAACGCGAGAAACGAAACGCAGGCGGCGAAGAAGCGGAAGGAGGGGAGGGAGGAGAGCGATCGAAGAAGCGGGCCACCTCACCGCCCAGGTGCGGTCTCGTCCAGTTTTGAAGAAAGCGTGTTGTGCGAACAAGCGGCGGTTGAATTACGCGCTGCCGTTAACCAATACGAAAATGTTTACTCCTCGAGGAGGGGGAGAGCGTGGGTCATTCGAAACCGGCCGATCTGGTTACTAACTCGGTCCAGCGACGCGCGGAAACGTAATAGCGGAGGAAGGAACGTTTTGCTCTTGAACGAAACGTTTTGTTCCTCGACGAGTCGAAGGAAGGAGGTGGACGAAAGGGGGCAGGGGGGAAAGAAATGGAACGAGTTGCGAGTCCGTTGCGTGCTCGTCCCTGACGAATCGATCGAGGCGAAAACGAGAAGGGGGAAAAAAAAGAGAGGAGGAGGAGGAGGAGGAGGATTCGATCGAGTCGGAGAAAAGGGAGGATCGTCTATTCCCGGATAATTGTTTTAAAGGTAGCAATCGGTTGCCGGATTACGAGCGGCATACATTAATTTAGCCCGAT